GAGATCGGCATGCCATCTGACAGAGTAGAGCATTATGAGCCTACGACGAATGAGGATGGGCTGCTCCTCAACCTCGACTTGTTGGAAGAAAGAAGAGCAACGGCCCAGCTACGCCTGGCGGAATATCAGGGCAGAATGGCCAGACATTACAATGCCCGCGTCCGACCTCGGGCCTTTCAGGTCGGACATCTGGTCTTAAGGAGGGTCCAAACGCATGTGGGTGCCCTTGACCCGGCCTGGGAGGGCCCGTTTGAGATCAAGGGCATAGTCCGACCTGGGACGTACATATTGGCCRATCTGAAAGGAGACGTCCTCGCGCACCCGTGGAACGCGGAGCACCTGAAGCGTTATTATCCTTGAAACGACAAAAGGATTTTCAATGCATCTGTAAAGATTGTTCCAAAAGAATTATGATCGGAATAAGTGTGATGATTTAATTTCATGCTTCCGAGTTCGACAAGAAATTAAATGGGGGACACGGACTCCCACGCGATCGCATTCCAGCAGTTGGTTCAAATTCAATCCTTCGAAGCCTAAGGGTACGAGGTGCGATGTCAAAACCACTGACGAACTTAAAATTCAAACCTTCAAGGCAAAGGGGGCGATGTGGAAAGTTCAAAATTAACATAATTAATAAACATAATTAATAATTTAATGTTTGTTAAAGTTTTTTCTAATGGTCGTTCCTAAGAAAAAAGAAAAAGAAAAGAAAAGGGCCAATATAGGATGCATAATGTGTGAGAAAGAAGAGAGAAAGCCTAAAATTGTGGAAACCCAAAAACCCAAGTGCTGCTTGGGGCTTGCAAAACCTACGGTCTACGGAGACAAGGCAGAGCCTAAAATCATGCAAAATAAATTATAATAAATTACAACGCCCATGCAACTATTTTAATTAAAATTTAGCCCTCATTTGTAATTACACAAACCCCATCCTCATCCCATATACGAAGCCTATGGTTGCAGGGTCGAACGGTAATTGACTGATGCAGAAATGTCGCTGCCCGTTTCTGTATTTTTTTTTTTCTAAAATAAAAAGAAATACTGTATTAAGAGGAGATAAGATGGTTCATAATTGTGAAAAAAAAAGACATATAAAGGATCAGAAAAACAACTTGGTGAATAAAACTTGTCTGAGTAATTTCAGCCCAACAAAGTACTTTCTTCGAATCACAGCATCCTCAATTATTGGAGGAGACTCCATAATTAATAGAAAATTCTTGTTTTTATGACATCACTGTCTATGATTAGAAAGGAAATAATTTTTTCACAATTATCTTATTTTCTACCATGACAAGTAAGAAAAGAAAAGTCATAAAAACTACATTAAACATATTCCTCGAAAATTTCTATATCTTGTCACTTATCTTTTAGACTAATTATTATATTTATATTATTTGTACATAAAAGAGTGAAAACCTTTTAACTTTTAATTTATATAAAGTCATATATTCGTGGAGTAGCAAAGATAAAATTTAAACACCTTTAAGAATATAATTCAATTAGTCAAGATATCTATATCTCCCTCCAATAAATTATTTAGTCAAATCTCTAGTCGTATATATTGTATTAAACAAATTAAATGTATGTTTATTTTTTTATTATTTTTTGTTTTCTGGTTTTATGGAGCGTGAGCGGACGCTCCATGGAGGGGCGTGGGTGAAATTTTGAATTAAAAATGGAATATGCTGAGAGGAGAGAGAAGAGAGGAGGCACGCAATTTAAGGCACCTCGTTATCAACAGTGATGAAAGCTATTGCCTCTCTCTCCTCCAAGAGTCAAACCGGGTACCCACTCCTTCGGTTATTTACAATTTCTTTTTTTCTTTCCAACAATTATCCTTGCATCGTTTCAGACCGACATACTTTTGAAGTTTCGACGGCAACGAAACGAGTAGATGTGATTTACCATTTGACTAATTTATGTGGGCCAAATCGACACACTATTAATTTTAGTTTTTATATGTTATAATATTCTTATTTTCAATTTTATTTTTGTTCAAATAATTTATTTTGATCCATGTAGGTTAAATTTTTGTTTATTTTAATTAATAATATACTTTTAAAATATTTCATGTATTTTTAAAAAAAGATGAAATTTACAAAATTTTAACACGATTTCTATATACAATACAAAATTATGACTACACTTCAATAAATTTATTGGGTGTAGTACTTGTGCTAAAGATGTGATTGAAAAAATAAATAAACATAAAAATTAAGGAAACAAAAACGATTACTATTTGAAAATGAGAAGATTGACGTTTTAAAAATTCAATGATTAAAATAGGCAAAAACTAAACTATATCATTAAAATGAACCAAAATAAAAATAAACAACTAAACTAATTTAACTTTTAAGTTTATTTTTTTCCATAACAACTAAGTTTCAAATCTTGTTATGTGATGCTAAATTTTCTAAAATTTTATTTTAATTTTGAACGTTTATATTAAATTAAAATTTTCAATCATTATCACTCCCTTTTCATTTATTGAATAAAATGAACCTAAACACATTCATAAAAGATATATAAGTAAATGATGGATGGGAGATTTTAAGTTAAAAATGTTAATAGTCCATCCAAATGAACATAAATTCAATGCACAGTTACCCGCTGTTACTTGTACTTCAATTATATATTGCCCCAAGTTTTTTTTTCTTTGAAAAAAAAGTCAAATTCGAATCTTATTGAAGAAAAAAATATAACAATATTTTAACAACATAAACATATTCAGCATTCAAGACATCTTGCTCTCTTCTCAGAAGTCGGAGACCATTCAATTTCTACCCTCACATCTATTG